GCACCGGTCGGTCTCGCGGAGAAACTCGCCTCAAGGCCGCGCCGTTTTGTAACGCGTGCCGCGAGCGAACCGCCGTCACGGGGCCGCGAGGCTCCGACGCGACCGGACCGTTGTATCAAGGGGGGTTGCGGTAACGATATATACCTCCTGGGGGGAGGGGGGGGGAGACCGCTATCCTCGCGTTCTCACGTCTGGAGTCTGGAAAGCGTGGGGAGATGCGTCCGAGATTATTGCACGCGCCGCCTCCATCACGTATACATTGTACCCGGTCCAGCTGCGCGCGGGACGAACCCGTCGCCGTTAGCGTGAGAGTTAATGTTTCGGCGAGTGTGTCTTCTTCGCGGCACCCGATTGCCTCACTTTCCAGGTTCTCGAGTTCTTCACAGCATGTGCATAGGAATTATCTAACGCAATATCGCGCTGCACCTCGCGACTTTCGCCCGGATGACTCGATCGCTCTTCAACTATACATAATAACGAAATCCTTCGGCGATCTTTCTTGAGAGAGAATCGTGAAGCTTGTTGTTGGGGTGTCAAGTGTGAGAGAATCATCGGCAGCTTCTACATTGCTCGAACAACTTCTACCGTTGTCCTTTAATGAATTATTGAAATTTGTTTAATTCCAATTTGTTTAATTCCTGTACTTTTGGCTTGTGATACTCTTTGCTCAATTAGTCAAAGAAAGTCGAGTCGAGCGACAGACGAAGATTCTGCAGTAAGATTTTCCGTTGAAGAGACGTTGCTTCTGGTTTCGCCCGCCGCTAAATCGCCACGGTAACGGTGAAGCATTAGTGAAATCACCGTCTACACGACACGGGCTACATCGCACGCCGCATCTCCCGACAGATGGTGTATTCTTGACGGATGACGCTACTGATCCTCGGTATACGCGCTATTTACGTCACTGTTTCTCTCCGGCGGGAGAGAAACGATACTTAATTAACGGCGCACTTTGGTAGTGATTCATGAAACGAGTGAAAGGTTCGCCGCGTGGATTCTCTCTCTCTCTCTCTCTCTCTCTCTCGGAACAGTGGCGATTGTAACGTGCAAAGCGGAGACACAGATCCGACGTGACGACAAGACGAGGCTAACCGATCAGGCAAGGACGCTCGCTGCGAGGACACATTTTTCCTTCGTGACCTTTTTGTGGCATTTGCCTGTCATGACCGCCGTCACGTGACTCGCGGCGAAAATTAAATGCCAAGACATCGTAAAGG